ATTCAGTGTGTAATTTTAAAGCCCCTTGAAACCATTTGGTTTAACTCAAGAATTCTGCTCCAGTACTTTAGGTATTTTAAACTGTGAAATTTCACACTATCAGGACTTTGGGTTGTACAACAATTTTAATTAGCTGCCTATAATATGGAGATCATTGACTTACTGGAAATAGTTCAGTAACTTAAAAGCTTCAGCAAAATTGAACTTTGTATCTTTTCTTTTCCTCCCCTGACTCATTGTCCAGATGCCCCTTGTTTAAATTTATTGACACTGTTTTTGAATCTAAACTGGTGTCTGCTTTCTGTTAAAAATTATGTTTCTATGTGTGTGTCAAGTAACTTCTGTTTCAGACCACAGCCTATTGATTGCTAGCAAATATTACTCCAAAGAGGTGTTGTTCACTGGTTTTAATATGCTTTCCAACTCAAAAAGGAGCAGCGATTAAAGCAGTTTAAACTCCAAAGTAAACAAAAAGCATATGAAAGTATGAATGATTGCCCTTCATACTGATCACATTGTAGAATGAGGCACTTTAAACAGCGAAAGTAGTTACAATATTTTTAATATTATTTTAAGATACCCTGTGGTGTTCTAAACAATGGATTAAGAGTCAACAACAGATTAAGGGAATGACTAGGCAACAATTGTCTGCACTATTCAAATAACTTGTCTGACGTTAAAAGTCTTTTCTCGGTGTTAAGAGAAAATTGCTCTTTGCTGAAATACTTTTCTAACAGTATGACTCAGTTTATTTCACTATTATGGCATTAACTTACTTGCTTTTACTTTCAACAATTCTTATTTTGTTTCAAACCATGAAATACTTGTTGTACATGATACATAGGAGTTAAGAAGTTAGTCTTGATGCCCAAGATAATTGGAGTGATCATTTCTTTGGCATATTCAGGAAAGCGTTAAGCATATTCAATTTCATTAACCCATAATAATAGCCTATTAGTTATGACACATTTGCTATCTTTAACAGGGGAGCACATTATTATAAGCACTGCAGACTTACAGCTTTATATGTGCTCTGAAGATGTGTCAAGACTTTCCTGCAAATTGTCCAAACTAAGTGAGAATCATAGAGAACAAAGAAAATCATCCCTCTGGGAACATTTCTGTGTCATATTAAAAATGATTTTTGGCACTTTCTCAGAGTGCAGCAACACTGAGGTTGGAATTAATGAATGCAAACTGATAATAACTATTAATTAATGTCCTTTCACAACACTGAAGTAAAGATAATCATTAAACCAGCCAAGAGTTTACCTTTTAAGAAACTTTTTGCAGAGTAGAAATATTGACTGAATTGAGAAGTTTACTGGAAATTAAAGAATGAGTGCAATTTCATCGTAACAGATCTAGGAAATAAAATCAGTTTACCTCTCTGGCATGCAGTAATGACTGTCATCAACTAGGAAATATTCACTTTGTAAATAAGTGGAAGTATAAACATAACTCTGAAGAATGTTTAGCTTACTCACAATTTAGAAAGTTGGGGGGTTTTGTACTATATTGCAAATATAAACTTACACTCAGTGCCTACATACTTCTGCATTCATCGTCTGTTGATCAAACTATGCATCTATTTTATTTCATTAATAGACTAAAGTCTTGTGTTTTAGACACTAATAGATATAATGAGACTAGCACTTATGCTTTTGTTTTATATGCTTCAACTTTTTACTAAAGTATAGCATACCGACAGTAAAGGTGGAAATTAATGTATATAATTTGTTTATTTTACTAACTTAATACAGTCACGGAATTAGCATTCAGAGCAGGAAACAATACCAGTACAAGTACCCTAGAAGTCTTTTTTGTTTGCCCCCTTCCAAATTCTAACCACCACTTCTCACTCAAAAATAACCACTATCCTGTCTTCTGACAGCCGATAGTCTCACTTTGCTTTATGCTGCATTGATAAAGCAATTTTTAAATATAAAATCAAAGCAAACAATCAATCAAACAAATCAAGCTTTCTTTGACTACCATGTTCCTTTGTGCCAGTAGCGGTATCTTTATGCTTTGTTTTGTGGTCTGGCATAGCTGCTAAAATGTATCCGATACAAATGTCTAGATTTCCTCTACTCCAACACTTCCTGAAGTGTGACCCAGAGACACTGGGGAAACGCTCAAGAAAAATTCAGGAGGTCCACAAGGTCAAAACTATTTTCGTAATAATACTAAAACACTATTCGCCTTTTCTACTAACTCTCTTATGTATGCATATTGGAGTTTTCCAGAGGCCTCAAGACATGTGATATCACAGCAGACTGAATGCAGAAACAAATATGAGAATCTAGTTGTCTTCTATTAAGCCAGGTTTTAAAGAGATTAACAAAAATGTAAAATAATGCCACTCTTTTCACTATTTTTTTCTTTGGAAAATATAGGTTTTGTAATCATATTTATGCTAACCTGTAATGAATTTATTATTGTTACTTTACAATGATTAATAATTACAATTTTTTAAACATTGGCATTCATTTCCAATACACAAATATTGATAGTATATCTCATATAAGCAAAGGTTTTTGGAGTCCCCAATAATTTATGAGTGAAAAGGGTTGTGAGACCAAAGTATTTGAGAACCACTGTCCTAGATATTCCAGAGTTTACTTCCCCTATCATTTCTCTGATTTGGCTCCCACTGAAGTTTAAAATAATTTAATTGTCAAAATCACTTATCATTTTTCACTCTTTTTTTACTTGAACTCTGTAAGTTTTAGGGGACTACCTTGTCTCCTATTTGTTTTTCTTTCACAACTCCTCATAACCTTGCTTCTGAAAAATGCCTCTAATATTTCATTATTTCTCAGGTTTATATACAGCCTCAACTTTATTTTTTTTTCAGGTTTCAGATGTTTTTGGATTTTGGAATATTTGCTTTATATAGTTAAGCATCCCTAATCTGAAAATAAGAAATGCTCCAATGATCATTTCCTTTGAGGGTCATATTGGTGCTCAAAAGGTTTTGGATTTGGGAGTGCTTCAGGTTTTAGATTTTTGGGTTAGGGATACTCAACCTGTATTTTTTTTTCAGCATATTATAGGGGTACAAATGTTAAGGTTACGTACATTGCCCTTGCCCCCCATTCCCCCTAGAGTCAGAGCTTCAAGCGTGTCCATCCCCCAGTTGGTGCACATCGTACTCATTATGTATGTATATACCCATCCCCTCCATCCCCCACCTGCCTGACACCCGATAAACGTTATTCCTATATGTCCACTTAGGTGTTGATCAGTTAATACCAATTTGCTGGTGAGTACATGTGGTGCTTATTTTTCCATTCGTGGGATACTTCACTTAATAGATTGGGTTCCAGCTCTATCCAGGAAAATACAAGAGGTGCTATATCATCATTGTTTCTTATAGCTGAATAGTACTCCATGGTATACATATGCCACATTTTATTAATCCACTCATGTATTTATGGGCACATGGGTTGTTTCCACATCTTTGCAACTGTGAATTGTGCTGCTATAAACATTCGAGTGCAGGTGTATTTTCTATAGAGTGTCTTTTGTTCTTTTGGGTAGATGCCCAGATAGGAACATTCCTACATTGCTGGTGGGACTGCAAACTAGTTCAACCTCTGTGGAAAGCAATATGGAGATACCCTAAAGCAATACAAGTGGATCTACCATTTGATCCAGTAATCCTATTACTCAGCCTTAACTTTAATTTCTCATCTTTGACATTGAAACTTTTTAATAACATAACCCATCATCAGGTCTGGATTTGATTTTACCTCACTTAAAAGCTAATAAGGTCAGGCGTGGTGGCTCACACCTGTAATCCTAGCACTCTGGGAGGCCGAGGCGGGTGGATCATTTGAGCTCCAGAGTTTGAGACCAGCCTGAGCAAAAGCGAGACCCCGTCTCTACCAAAAATAGAAAAAATTAGCCTGGCATGGTGGCGCATGCCTGTAGTCCCAGCTACTCAGGAGGCTGAGGCAGGAGGATCACTTGAGCCCAGGAGTTTGAGGTTTCTGTGAGCTAGGCTGATGCCACAGCAATCTAGCCAGGGTAACAGAGTAACAGAGTGAGACTCTGGTCTCCAAAAAAAAAAAAAAAAAAAGAAAAGCTAATAAATTATTAAGTTAGCCTTTTTACTATTTTATGCATGCTGAGACTCATAAGTCAAAAAAAAATATTATTCACAGCACAGTAAGATATAGGAACAACAATGTTTTCTGTTTTTGTTTTGGTTACCTTTTCCTCAAAGTCCCATGGTGGGGACATGGAAGGGCCCACATTGATATTATACATGCAGTGGTTTGCACTGCAGCTGAAGAACTTTGAGCTTGGAAAATTCTCCTTTTTATAGCATGCAGCAAGCCTTTCATCCTTCAGGATTGCTCCTGCTAACCCAAATCTGACAAATGGCCTGAGTAAAGAGCACTCAGGGCCTTGCAATCATGGCATTACCAGCAAGAATGTACAGAGATGTTCAGGGTCCATGGAGGACTATCTTTCCGAACACTCATTTGAGAAACTAACTCATCTGGGTACCCTATTTGCAAAATGGGAGACAGCTCCCCTCCCACACAAATGTCAAAAAGGTTAGAGGCTTCATACATCCTTCAGAGTACATCTAAGGACTCCTGCCTTAAATATTCACATTTCTTAGAGTACTACCATGACCTTCTTTTTATTTCAATCTACATACATTCCATGTATGATCAATTACAACTAGTGTAGGGGATCAGACCATTTTCATCAGCTTGAGATACTTTTATCCAACTTCATACAATATCAACTCATACCATGTATCTCTATCTGGTTGTCAAATAGGCACTTCAAATTCAACACAGTGTGAATCATCAAATCATAATTTTTCTGTCCCCCACCAAAGGTGCAAATTAATGAATTTTTCTGTGTTGTTTAAACTTATAAGCAGTCACCTGTCATTCCATCATCCAAGCTGAAATTTAATGCCATTTTTTTCTTTACCTTGTTCTGCAATATCCAAATATTTTACATGTCGGGTGTTATTTTTCTCTTAGCTATTTCTTGAATCCATTCTCTTCTCTTTATATCTAGCACTACAGCTTAGGTTCAGGAGCTCAGCATCCTTTGGTTCATCTACAGCAAAAATCCCTTAGTGATTCTCCATATATTTTGCCTCACTGCCCTCATTGCATCTTCCCCATCAATCTGAAATGAGGTAGGGGAAGAGAATGGGTTTTGGTATCAGACAAACTCTTTGACCCTGAGTCTGCAATCTTGGGCAATGTATTGACCTCTGTAAGACTGTTCCTTATTTATAACATCAGGGTGATACTTTCTCCATTATGAAGTAAATTGTTAGGATTACCTAATATGATATATGTATATTACAAGCACAATTTACGGCCCATAGCTATTAGTGAGTTCTTAAAATACTATTCCCCTCCTCCTATTCCTCTTAAAACAAGTAAAAGTCTTTCATTCACCATAAAAATAAATTCAAACTCTTTACCATCATAACTAAATTATTTTTTGACCTGCCAAATAGCTGGTCTCATTTTCCCATTGATTTTGACACTTTTTCAGTGATAGAATTCCACATTATTATATATCTTAAGTGACCTAGTGATCCTTACCACAGGAATATAATATTAAAATTCACTTCTACTACTGTACTATATAATAAAATATATAGGAAACTTATCTATTAATACTGATTAACAGTAACAAAAATAAATATGGCATCATCATATATTTTATTAAAATTTCTAATAAATACTTGATAGTTGAAGCCCCATCTGCCTCAAACATCACACAGTCCACAGAGAAAGTGAGCAAAGAATATACATAGAGATCTTTAATTTATATATGAAATACAGTGATGGGGTCCAAATTACAAGAAAAGAGTGAAAATATAAACATGTTTTAGGCCAATAAAAATTGCATGAGAGAAGTCCTTGCTGTAAAATATCACGGGAGGAGAGAAATCTGGAATCTGGAATATTTACTACATTAACAAAGTGTACTGGAGGATATGACCCCAAATTCTTCTTGGCCCACTACACTCTACACTGCAATGTCCAGTAATCTTCATGGTCATTCCATTTCTTAATAAAAGCTTTCAGTTTTGTACAATGTGATTATTCAATTATTTTTTCATGGCTGCAAAGTACTGTTCCAAGGAAGCAAATAGAATGGTACTAACTGGCTTTAAAACAATGACTTTGTATATAATACATAGACACTGATAACCTACATATATTTAAGGGTGACCTAGAAATATCAGCAAAAGTTAGTATCTATTTAATGTATTACCAGTTTGTATGCATTTCAGTGCCAAGACTAGAAGCAAGAATAACATATTTCTTCTTCCATATAAGGTCCATATTAACCAAACATTTACTGATGTGTATCTCAAGGGATCTTTTGAAAAAATAATGGTGAGGCTGACTTAATAATCTTGTTGGGTTGTAGTCTTTACTTTTTTATGATGCTCCATCTTACATACCTCTGAAAAGGCTAATCAGATTCCTGCTTCAGTATAGATATTGAATCAACAAAAGGGGGGCTTCTGGGTTTTCTTTAAATTTTAGAGGACCAACTGCAATTCCTAATTCTGATTAACAATTCTCCCTCTTTGTTTAGCGCCCTGTCAAGTAACTATTCATGTTGACCCAGAAAAGCATTCCCATTTCTCTTTGTTTCTATTTTATGCACATAATTAACCCAAGTAATTCTTGGGTCACAATATTTTGGGAGTCACAAAATAAGACATTAAAGAACCTATATAAAAGACTAGTGGACTTAAATGCATTGGAAAATAAATGCAAAATCACATGTGATTAATACATATTTCTATAAGGGTGAATGTAACTTTGATTTTATAAATAGCTGTATTTCTATCAGCATAACAATGAGTACATTATCAATAACAATTTATCACATCTTGATAATTTAGTGCCAAGTTGTCTTGACTGAGGATGACTGAGACCTTTTTTTCCCTTCCTTAGTAATTTCTGCACTGTGTATTTGATCTTGGGACAGATCATGTCTTACCGGTATATTGACCTTCAAACATCAGTACATAAGTTAACAAAGCTTATAATAAGAGTTCGAGGTCAGAGGTATCAGAACTACCATATATGGTTGTGCAGTTTAGCCCTGCACATAGTCACCTGACCGTGGGAGTGTTGAAGTACAAATTCAGCCCACGCTTGCCTAGCCAAAGCCCTGCACCCTTGAGTGAAACTGAGATTTTCAGATGATGGGGCACTATTTTCTTAACAAAAAGTATTGTCTATACCCAAGCCATAATGAGACTTCCCAGAAGGAGCCTTTAAAAAGTTCTATAATGTATTATCCTGGATGGAGCTGGAACCCATTCTTCTAAGTGAAGTATCAAAAGAATGGACAAACAAGCACCACATGTACTCACCATCAAATTGGTACTAATCGATCAACACTTACATGCACATATAGAAGTAATATTCATTGGGGATGGAGCAGATAAGAGGGGGGAGGAGGGGATGGTTAAATTCATACCTAATGGTTGTGGTGCACACTGTCTGGGAGATGGGCACACTTGTAGCTTTGACTCGGGTGGTATAATGGCAATTTATGTGACCAAAGCATTTGTATCCCCATACTATTCTGAAATAAAAAAGGATAATACTATCATGTAATATTCACTAGGTGCCAGTCAGGTGGAACGGGGGGTGGTGGGGGTGGGTAAACTCACAACTAATGGATGCGAAACACACTGTATGGGGGAAGGGTAAGTTTGTAGCCCTGGCTTGGGTGAGGCAAAGGCATTATATGTAACCAAAATGTTTGTACCCCCATAAAGTTCTGAAATAAAAATAAATACATAAATATCAGACTATTGAACATATTTAAAATTTTTTTAAAAAAAGAAGAAATAAAAATAAAATGTGCTGAATAGGGTTGAAGAGGCCCTGAGAGTGGTTTCTCTTCACAATCATACTGGTGTGTGAAGTGTTACCACTTTCATATAAAATTGAGTTTTTATAAAATCTGCTTTGTTTTTGCATATTAAATCTTAATGTAGTATAAACGAGGGTGCTTATGTATCAGAAACCACTTTTAATTTATGCCTTAATTAAAATTATGTTGAATTTTATAATATTCCAAATTAATAGGTTACTAACTATTCATAGGTTACACATTTCTACCATTTAAAATGACCTTGCACTTTATACATCAGAGCACTTAATTTTATTTATGGTATTCTGAAGGTGCAAATTTGTGTGTATTTGTGTGTGTGTGTGAGAGAGAGAGAGAGAGGGAAAGGGAGAGAGAGAGAGAGGAGAAAGAAAGAGAGAGGAAGAGAGAGATACAGCACACAATTACTCATATATCAGCGGAAAATAATTAAATAATTATTAGACCCATGATCAAGATTTAGTTGGTGATTATTTTTCTTTTAGAATTCTTTCAGAATGTGTTACCCCTTTTCTTTTTCTCTTTTTCTCAGTATGTTTATCCTTAGATATTGATAATAATAGTACAAATTAAAAACATCAGCTATCCTGATGATCAGAGTTAATGGAAGGGGACAATGTTTCAAAAGATATGATATAACAATAGTTTTTTTTTTTTTTTTTTTTAATTATTTTTTTT